TAAGGTTTATATTTATATTTATTATGTAGTTGTTTGTCAAAACGATGTTTCTGTATTATATTTTGTAGTTTATACTTTAATTTTCGCCAATCAAAACGCATTGTCATGGTATCTTATCGTATTCTGGTAGTTGGAATGAGATAACAAGAGGCCCATGGGCCTTAACGGTCAACTGATATATTTATACAGAGAGTTGATTTTGTTTTTAAATTGAACAGAAATATTATTCAAATTGACAAAAAACAATAAAACCACCTTATTCAATATCTAGCATACAGATTTAAGACTAAAAAGTATTTGAAACTAGCACCTCTGATTCTAAACAAGGAAAATGAAGACATTTTAGCACACTGACTCATTTGGGCCCCACCCTACAGCCCTTGAGGGTAGGGCTGGCTCAAACTTTTCAAAGTATCAAACTGTCAACTCAATGTCATAATTCCAATCAAGTTATTAACATGTTATGTTCAAAGTATCATTTGCCATTATAAATCATAATAAAAATCCCCCCCTCCTTCCCGAAATAAACTATAGTAAAGTTTACCCCCTCCCCAGGGGTAAACGTGAGACCCCAGGGTCATGAAATTCACATTTTTGGTAAAGCACCTTAAGTCCATTCCATCTATGAAGAGTATTTGATTCTACCATATCTGGGTCTTGAGAAGAAGATTTTTGAAATTTCAGTCAATTCGAGTCTTTTTTGGCCCCGCCCCTCAGGCCCCTGTGGGCTTGGGACTAAACCGGCCACTAGTTTTGTTGACCTTTGTCCATGGAAGGTTCCTGCAAAATTTCATTGATATTGGTTCAGGGGTTTTGAAGAAGAAGTCGAAAATGTAAATTGTTTACGGACGCACGACGGACGACGACGGACAAAAAGTGATCGCAAAAACCCTCGGGCGGAATTTTCCTACAATACACCCCTGGGCATAAAAGAGTCCTATAATATTATCTCACAATTACCTGAATTAAAAAGATCATGCATAAAATCCACATTGAATTGAAATATGATCCTTTCTTCCTCTTCCTCAGAGGTAGACCAATCGTGGGTTTTCATGTAGCACTCCGGGTCAAAGTTGTCATACTCAGTCGTTTCTGTCAGAGACATCATCTTGTATGGCCAGTACAAAGCAATATGACCAATACAGATAGGTTCGTGTTATAATGAGAACGGTGCACGGTCATGTGTGTGTATCTTGCATATATAGGTCTCTGTCAGCAGGCCCAAGTTTCAGAGGCAACGATTGGTTGAACAAAATATGTTCATATTTTATTACTAATTATAATTTAACCTAGCAAAGCAGGAAAATATATATCCTTGTTTTAATCTTCATTTTCTTATTTAAACCTTCCATACACATTCCATTTCGTGTTAACTCTTTGGAAACCCTATGTCAATCTGATGCCAATTCCCAATAGAGGGTGACCCTTTTTCCATTCGTTGTAGTGTATGGATGCATAAATCAATTACGAAAGAGGCAAGCGTGAAGTAAAATATGATCTGCTTAATTCTAGAGGATCACTAATACTGAAAATATCTTTATTCAAACAGGGAAAAACGATTGTCAAAATGAATATCAACCAACTCTCTTAGAACACTGTTCCCATCAATTTAGGACCTTGTTAGGCCCCCTTCTCACACACATGCTAAAACTTGATAGATATCGAAACTTACCTAATAAGACATAATGAGACCATGTTTTGTATGCATAAATAAATGGAAAAATGTGTCAAAATTAGTCGTGTTTGTCCAATAGTCACTCTTCAAAACGCGCACCAATTTAGCCTTAATAGTCCAGTTATTAGAAGGACGACGGATGGAACGGCTAGACACGATGAGTGCTTTTTTTATCACATGACGTCTTTGTAAGAACTTGTAAAGACAATAGAAATGATTGGTTGAACACGAAAAATTTATTATTCATACTTTTATAAAATGATATACGTTTTGAATATATATTACTGCATATAATTGTATATAAAACAAATTGAGATTATTGTTATTTCTTTCAGGAGGAAACACATGTTACAAGTCACGTGATGAATTATATTAACTACATACGTGTTGATGAGTTATTTTTTTCTATTCAAAACAAACACCAATTTAGCCTAAATAGTCCAGTTATTAGAAGAACGACGGACTGAACGGCTAGACACGATGAGTGCTTATTCATCACATGCCGTATTTGTAAGCACTAGCAAAGACAACAGAAGTCACGTGATGAATTATATTAACTACATACGTGTTGATGAGTTGTTTTTTTCTATTCACACAGTATTTACAACATAAAATAACTTCTACCCTTACGATTCAACTATATAGTCATTGCTTTACTAATCCAGATGATTAATTGTTTGTGTTTATGGGGAACAGTAAAACTGACAAAGTAAACGAGGATCATTTTATTCAAAACTATGTGAATATTATATTAAAACGGTTGAATTGAAGGTTATCGCTGCTTCTCTGAGACTGAGTTTGGTCAAAAGACTTTTGTTAGTGAAGGGAAATGGCAGTATATGTTTAGTCTTTTTATAGATAATGGCATATTTGTTTATGTCGGCGATGGTTATTTACAGAAATAATGGATGTAGCATCATGATCTGGAAAGAAGTCCTGGAAAACTAGGAAAGACTGAAAATGGCTGAGAAGGATTTTTTTATAGACAAGAGATGTCAGTAATGTAAATTTCGTTATGGTTATGTGTTTTGATAAAAGGTGTTTTATAGAGAACGGTAAATCAAAGGAATAGTTATAATCAGTAATCTCAAAACACTAACGCCGGTCGAGGAGAAAATGTAGGGAAATTTCAAACATTTGCCTATGATTTCATCAGTACGTCGAAAAAAGCAGTTTCAGGACTCTCATATATTTGAAATTTATCTCTAGCTATCCATATCAGAATAAGGTATACAACGTAAGTTCGGGGACAAAATAACTCATTTAACATAGTATGTAAAAGAAACATCAAAATATAGCTCAAGGGTTCANTGAGGAGAAAATGTAGGGAAATTTCAAACATTTGCCTATGATTTCAACAGTTCGTCGAAAAAAGCAGTTTCAGGACTCTCATATATTTGAAATTTATCTCTAGCTATCCATATCAGAATAAGGTATACAACGTAAGTTCGGGGACAAAATAACTCATTTAACATAGTATGTAAAAGAAACATCAAAATATAGCTCAAGGGTTCAACATGGTCGCTATTTTTCTGTAGTAGCCCTATATGTCGTAGATTTACATATATTCTTAACCATTACACCGACACAACTTTTTATAAGCTCAATCTATATTACAGTGTTACCTGCCAACTATATGGAATGCAAGTTAACCGTTCAACAGTGTATAAATTCAAGCCATATTTGTACAAAGCATTTGGTTGTTCTATACATGAAAAAGAGACTTACATAACGGCGTAAGCACACTGAAACAAGATACTAGACCAGAACAGCTGATACACAAGTACAAAGGAAAGTCTATATTATATAGCTTCAATATACCTGTTATATCTAATATTATTTTGAGGGAAGAAAACGTAACGACCATTTTTGTAAGTAATAGAATTTTGTGGTGAAGTGATAATTACTGCCAAGGTGTCAACAGATATGAACTTGTGTAAAGCTACAGTAGTATGTTGGTTTTAAATTGTAGAGGGAAACAATGAACAATTACAGTCAAAAACACACAACAACAACAGTTTGGAAATTAGTTAATACCGTTTTGTACTATTTCTTTGAGAAGTATCGACTTTATGTGTTATTCATTTGAAGTAATATAACAACTTCCACCTAAATTATATCAAGTTGATTCACACTTTCAGAAAATTTTCAAGTTACAGGATATTCTAGATACATGAGTGATATTGACAAATATCTACCCATTCCATTTTATTTTACTTTCAATTCCCACTCAAAAGTTGGAAATTTACCTTTTCCCAAGAACAGCCTTGAGCGAGCAGAAAGCCAAATGAACATAGACATTATGTACAAGAGATTTTACAATAACGCCGCGATCTTGTTGATTTCAATCATCATTAAGATTTCCTGAATAGAGAAATAGCACATCAACACGAATGTAGACAAGATGTTTTATCACGTGATTGTTAACATCTGTTACCTAGCAAAGAAATAAAAGCCGTTTAAATTTGTAATGGCATTATTATATAATATTATATACGACAAGGTTATCATTTGTATATCATTATGTCCAAATATGAATAATTTATAGTTCATTGAACTACTTTTGTTTAACTTTTTTTCTTGGAAAGTGCTGTCAAGGACGTCAGATAACCACAATGCACTCACAGAGACAGGTTTCTTACTATCACAAGTACTTGACAGTGTTAGCTACAAAGGTGTTTGTATTTGCCATTTGAAAATATGTCTCTAATGGAAACGACTGATTATCAAAACTGTTATCACACTTTTCTATGATATGGGAACAGGAATCGAGGAGAACATTACAATTTGTACACACAAGTGATTGCTCCATTATCTCCTGGTAATATATACGGTACATTATGCCAAAAGTTAATTACACTGCAATAAAATTTAAAATAGACAAATGCACTATAGGCAAACAAGTTGTCATCTTATATAATTTGGTATTTCAGTAACACGGTATGATGTTTTGAGGGATACAAATCATATTGTAAGCTGAAGTTACAAGTGTAGATATGGAATATCTGAGATATGAGAGGTCTGATGCTGCAAGGTTACGGTCAAAGGTAGGAAGTGACAAGAAAGTGTAACACGATACCGGGAAATATTTCAGTTTCGATATGTTGATACAAACATCAATATGAGTTTGAATCAATTGACAAACTAATATCAATGTTTGTGATGCTGTTAAATCTTAATATATCACTTTTACAAGCATCTGATTGTTATGGCATTTACAAGTTTGTTCTCTGTCTTTCACCATTTGTTATTATAAGTTATCAAATAGCAATAGGAACCTAACCATTTTAAAAGGACATTAACATATACAAGCAACAAATGTTTTCTCTCCGAATATTTTATTTTAAATCCATTTTATTATAAACTGTAAGATTTAACGAACAGGCAAGTCATCTAGTAACCTGAAAGAGAAAAAAGGAAGTTCGGTTAATAATCAATACAATGCACATGATACGGTTATTAATAAATATTTTAAAAGCGACATACATGTATCTGATTTTTTTCTTCGTTTGAGATATATCAAACATGTTCATTATTACCTTTTCCTCCTCCCATTCCACCGTCCATTCCTCCGAATCCGCCTCCGTTCATTCCTCCGAATCCACTTTGGCCTCCCATTCCACCGCCCATTCCTCCGAATCCGCCTCCGTTTATTCCTCCGAGTCCACTTTGGCCTCCCATTCCACCGCCCATTCCTCCGAATCCGCCTCCGTTCATTCCTCCGAATCCGCCTTTGCCTCCTATTCCACCGCCCATTACTCCGGATCCACCTCCGTTCATACCTCCGAATCCGCCTCCATTCATTCCTCCGAATCCACCGTTGCCTCCCATTCCGGAGCCACCGAAACTTCCGCCCATAGAGCCGGCACCACCTCCGTAACCTTATAAAAACCATTATGTCGGATAACATCACTTTATTATTTGATATTCCTGTTATAAAAATGATTATTCTGCATTTTATTTTATAAAATCTAATTTTCATCACATATCTCTTCATATTTAACTACCTCCAATTGAAAATATCAGGCATGAAAAACGTTGAAAACTTACCAGCTCTCCTGTAACCTGAAATAAAAAGTACACAATATCAAAAATTTTAAACATAGATATTTCAACATGTGTTTTTATAACAGCAAATTGTATTACTTTGTGTATAGGCTGACCCACCAGTCAGTGTATATTGAAACAGATTATCAACAAATCCTTATCATAAAAATATATTGGTTAAGAAACCAACAGTTTACAGTGTGATCCACTCAAATTATTTAAGATATTTATTTTCAGTGTAGTTTATTTGATAAATCTTGAAATCATTTATCAGAATCACTTTCTGTTCGTTTTATATGATAATTTATTAAATAAAAACTTACGTCCACCGCCGTTACTGGCGCCATTACCGTATCCGTTTCCGGCGCCATTGCCGTATCCGTTTCCGGCGCCATTGCCGTAACCGTTTCCGGCGCCATTGTCGTATCCTTTTCCGGCGCCATTGCCGTTACCATTTCCGCCGCCATTTCCGTTACCATTTCCGTTTCCGAATCCATTTCCATATCCTGTCAGTAATAGATATTGCGTAAATCACATTAGCATTTGATTACAGTAAATATATCTTTAATGAAATAATTTATTGTTCATTATTAATATGCGCCATTCCAAAGATTGTCAAGTCATACCATAAAATGATGATTACAAAAGCTTCAAACTGAACTTACAAACCTATTTTAATTATGGAATGTTATATTGATAATGCATTATTATAAAATCAATGTAAATAAAGGTATTGATATTTTTAAATTTATGAAAGTCTCCTGTTTCATACTATTATTTCATTTTGCTTTTCTAAATTTTCAAAAAGTACAAAGNATGGAAGTCTCCTGTTTCATACTATTATTTCATTTTGCTTTTCTAAATTTTCAAAAAGTACAAAGCTTTTTTAAATACATTAAAATTTGTAAAATCATATTGATAATTCATGATTACAGAATCAATGTAAATAAAGGTATTACTATCTTAATCTGTTGGAAGTCTACTAGTTTATACTTTAATTTATTTTTTTATTTCAAAATTCAGCTTTTATTATATTTCATACATAATATCAAAAATTGATTATTTTGTAAAATGATTCTTACCTGCAGCGCTTACAGCGACCAAGAGGCATGAAGCCAAACACATACATATATAGGTGTTCATTTTTGCGTTCTGAAAGGAATACCTTACAATCGAAAAGTTAAACTGTTAACAAGATGAACATGTTACTTGTGTCTTTTGTTCCGACANCAATCGAAAAGTTAAACTGTTAACAGGATGAACATGCTACTTGTGTCTTTTGTTCCGACAATCATTTGAACTAACAAGGTTTAGCTAATCAAATCATCTAATTTCATATAAATCGTTTAGTTAAAGAATAAGTGTTCCGAAAAATAATTTCTATTCCATTTTTCTGCCTACCCTTAGATACTAAGTATATATACCGAATCCAATTTTATTTAGCTTTCAACAGTTAAACACATCTAAAGAATACCTTATATATGAATTTTCTGTTCGGAAAGCTTCTTGTTATATCTCAAAAATAAATTGTATAGTGACAATGAAGCAATGTATGAATATAAACAAAAGCAATCAATAATTCTTTAAATGATTATCAAGATATTTCACAACGAACTTGAATTCATTTAATTATAATTACAATATTTTTTTAATGATAATTAGGTCTAATGTATAAAAAAAAATAGCATAATCAATTTAATATAAAACGTACCGGACTTGGCTAGAAGATACTGGTGGAGGACTGGAGAGGTGGTGCAGAGGAAGATAGATTAGGGTCTTTATTTATACAAAATGAGACGGAAGTCTGCACATGCAATGTCTTTGATTGGGTCTGGTCAGATCGTGCGAAACTGTTTTACACCGCAATCACTTGTATTGAACATCTGATAGAATTAATGTTATTTATATAATTGATTGAACACGTTCTTACATCTAGCTGTAACTACATGTACATCAGGTGTGGGTAGTTCGCATGTTCCTGATGACGCATACGTTTATTACAAAAAACGTATATGTACTTCAAGCCTATTTTTCGATCCAATTATTTTTATATTATGTTAGATATATTTATAATTATATAAATCATTGTTTGGACAAAATATATACCTTAGTAACATTTTTTTCACAAGGATTTCCATTTTGTAATCATGTCGCTTTTATAGCATGTTACATGTAATTCTGAGAATACATAATACAACTGCATATACGGATATAAAACAATGTAAAAAATATACTATTTCCCTATAATACACTGCATACAAGAACATGATAATCATAACATATCGAATGTACTTCGTTCATGTCTCCATTTTGTTGATCATAACGTATTAATCAGAGTTGATGGTGTACTACGGACTAACAAAACTTATATGATACCAAGATAAATATGTGTGAAGGATGTATTCTTGCCTCACACCTTTTTTAGTTTGAATCCCGATTTGGGCAAAAAAAAAGGTGAATGTAGTAAACAACTCCCTGTTTTAATGCTTGCATATTAAATGTGATATTTTGTACAGTTTTTTACATACATCGGACGTTTGTTTTACATTTTTCACAACCAAAGCAATATGATAAACAGACTAAAATGGAACAAAAAAGCAATGTTATACAACAAATAGGTAATAGTAAAAACGAAAAGCTATTTTCATTTTCTTTCAAATCTCATTTTTCGTACTTACTTAACACAGGTATGTATGATAGTCTTTAAGGCTTTCTACATCTCGTGGAAATTATTAAAATTTTAACATTATTTTACCATTTCTGTTATTTTCTTTGCAATTCATTTGATAACCGAAGTAAAAAATATATATCTGAGATATGAATACAAGGGGCATTACTACACATATTTTGCAATATATTACTTTTGAAATGTTAAGCACTTATAACAAATCCCTCTTCATGATTTAAATGTGTCCCAATTTTATAACAGAGTGCAATAAGAAACACTATTAAAACAAATAATCACACTAAAAGTTATCATTTTAATTACAGATATACATGTTTGCAAATGTATGTGATTTTCGATGTGCAAATAAATCTAAGCGTGGGCAGACTGTTTTAATTTCATTAAGATGATGCATCTCTCTGATCAATTTACTCTTTGATGCGAAATACATCCCTTACATATTCTTTTACATTATGCAAATAACGTTTATCCTTTGATCTAATTTTGCATTGTGTCTGTCGGCAATAACGCTTTACCTTTACACAACCACGTACAGAAAACAAGTTAATGCAATCACCGTCTTCAAAGCGCAATGCATATTCCCAAGTACGTGCCGAGTATCTTATCCCATGCTGAGCATGCACTTTACATGTTACAAACATATTGATGTGGTCCACTGTCGACAATTAAATAACTTTAAAACAATATGCGACATTTTCTAACGGGTTTAATTTCTGTGATCAATCAATGATGTGTTTCTCGTACATGTAGGTGATGACCTGCTCTTTACAGACTTCCGTTTCTAACAGTATAAATAGTGGCTATCCTCAGGTTACAAATCACCACATCTCCTTTCTACCCTCCGACATCAGCAGATTTCCTAGCCTGTTTTTCAAGGTACGACTTACATTTCAGAATACCTCGTTTTGTGTGCTTTTTGGAGTGTATTTTGGGATTATCTTATTGCCGATTTGTGTCGACTAACAGTTCCGGATTTGTCGTATGTGCTGACGTTTTGGTACACGTTTGTCTGTTGTACTATAAAGCCTTCGTCTTTTAATCTGTTTGAGTCTCATAATATCAAGGTGGCAATTGCTTGTAATTTCTCAGATTGGTGTTTTAAACCTCTTTTATAATAAAGAAATATATTACTCTCTAATTAATATACTTAATGTTTGAGGGATGACACACAAACGTCATAATCAACACTATCAGAAATGTGCCAAAGCATCCTTATTAACATATCTTAAAGTATCTTCATAATTGATTCCGTTTAGCTCCTGCTTGTGAGTATTTTGTACGTAGTGAAATACATAAGAATAACGCTATGGTCTCTACATCACAACTTTGGTGCGATAGACAATGCTAGCTACAGTAGCTCAAAATTGACCATGTGAAGTTAAACATTATTATGTAAAGTTAAAATGTATCATGTGAATTTATCGCAATTTAAAATGCATAACGTTGTCTTATATTTACTAGCTGTGGAAAGAAAACTATGAATTCTTTCCCGACATAACTTCAGGGTATCAAGTATTTCGATATATCCCTGTTATCAGAACATGCAGTAGCTACAAACTGTTACAGGTTCTATAAATACATGAGTTTAAAGGCTCGTTAAGAAGTTTAGTATACAAAATATCAACATGTTTAATAAATGTAATGCCTTTATAATTATTTGTCTACACATGTCTGTCTACAGATCCTCAGGATGAATACCTACATCTGTCTTGCCGTTTGCCTTGTTGCTGCTGTCTCAGCTGCTGGTATGTCTTAAAGAATTATGTCGAATAGGTGTCTCTGTACATCTTTCCAAATCATTTCAATAATTATCCCTGCTACTTTCTGAACACGAAATATAATTTGTGACATTTCAATTTTTACATTAATATATTTCTCGATGATAAATTATATGCTGTAGCAAAATGTTTTAATTTATCATGTTGTGAAAGATTTTATAAGCGCCTCTCCCTTTATGTCAATATCTTTTTCGTAATGTTTAAAACATAAATGTTTAATTCTTGTGACCTTTTGTACTACGTATGCGTCCTAAATGGACGGAAAAAAATATATGTCTCAATACAATTATAACACTGTTTGGCGTTATACGTAAACTGACTTGATATTCAGATTAGAGCTTTCTTAGTCCATCATTCTTATTCTTATTCCACAATATACAAAGTAATGGACATTCCACTAGTGTTGCCCTGTTAATTACGTCATCTTAACTACGGAGGCAACATCAAAACCAAGTTGTCCGTAAAGGAATCAAAACTAGATACGGTATCAGGGCCGGAAAAGGGACAGAAAATATATAATAATACGCAATATAGAAATAACACTTTAAATCCAGTCATACTCGTTCAAGGAGTGTAAGGCGATGGTCATCATTTTAAACGCCGGTGTGCGGTACATCCCTACACACGTTTTCGGACATCTCAATATATGTTTTTTTTACATAAATTTTTGTTTATCATTAGGAGGCAACTAGTAAAATAACAAAAATGAAAATACATGTATTTTACATAAATATTAATTTGAACACAGGTATTTGGTAAAGCATTGTCCAATTCACTTTACAGAAATATGTAAAAAGAAATACAATTGACATACTTATATGGTTTGGATTAAAAAATGAATAAAACATTTCCCTCTGTGTTATAGGATATGGTGGTGGATTCGGAAGCATGGGCGGTACTGGAGGAGGAATGGGAGGTGGCATGAACGGAGGCGGATCCGGAGGTATGGGTGGAGGAAACGGTGGATTCGGAGGAATGGGCAGTGGAATGGGAGGACAAGGTGGATTCGGAAGAAAGGCAGGCGGAAAAGGTGTATTCGGAGGAATGGGCGGTACTGGAGGAGGAATGGGAGGTGGCATGAACGGAGGCGGATCCGGAGGTATGGGTGGAGGAAACGGTGGATTTGGAGGAATGGGCAGTGGAATGGGCAGGGGAATGGGCGGTGGAATGGGAGGACAAAGTGGGTTCGGAGGTATGGGCGGAGGAAATGGTGGGTTCGGAGGAATGGGCGGTGATATGGGAGGACAAGGGGGATTTGGAGGAAAGGCAGGCGGAAAAAGTGGATTCGGAGGAATGAACGGTGGAATGGGAGGACAAAGTGCGTTCGGAGGTATGGGCGGAGGAAATGGGGGTTTCGGAGGAATTGGCAGTGGAATGGGAGGCCAAGGCGGATTCGGAGGAAAAGGCGGATTCGGAGGAAAAGGCGGATTCGGAGGAAAGGCAGGCGGAAAAAGTGGATTCGGAGGAATGGGCGGAGGAAATGGTGGTTTCGGAGGAATTGGCAGTGGAATGGGAGGCCAAGGCGGATTCGGAGGAAAAGGCGGATTCGGAGGAAAAGGTATATGGAGAAAAAAGAAAAAATCCTTTTAATTCTTGTTCTTTATTTTAAATTGAAAACTGCACGAGAAACTACATGTGTATCGCTCAATAAACAAGCTTGTAATTCCAAAAAGAAAATATCTTAACAACAAATCTCATCAGTTCAAATCCTTTAACAGTTTGAATATGACCTTATTATACGTTCTGTGACGGTTTTCAGGAAACACTACAAATGTACCTTTAATTGTTGTAAATGTAACGTTAAGACGTTTGACGTTTAGTATCGCTGATGTGTTCTTAATTGACAAAATAGCCAGTAAATATTTACTTTTCTTGTGACTTTTTACATTCCCTTGCTTAATGTTTAAATGAGTACTTTCTGACCTCAAACTTCTTGTGACAATTGTTTCGATTATATATTTTAACTGTTAAGTTCAACTAATATGCTTTATTTATTTTTCAGGATATTAGATCCAGCTGATCCTGTTAACCTTGCATTACATGTAAATGATGCCAAATTATTAAAAATTGAATAATGCACTTCATTTAATCTTTATTGTTCATTTTGCATGTTCATGTTACACATAAAAATATATGAACTGACGAAGTACAACAATTCATCTGCCAATATAAGAAATATTTCTGATCGTACATTCAAATATCAATAGCCAAAAATCAAGTATTAAGCATGTCAATTCAAATGATTTCCTAAGAGAACTAGAATGACATTAATGGACTCTCCATCGTGTTACCTGTTTCATCTCTGATTGAAGGGAAGAAACTCATTTACATACACATGTGCTCCAAGGAAGCACAGTACGAAATCGTAGTGCATAGGTTTACCTTGCTTACTGTTTATGTATTTGATGAATGACATCAGATCCGTTGAAAATGGTATTAATTTATGGAGCATAGGTTAAAACTGAGGTAATAACTTAGGATTCATCCTCAGTGCCATACAAATGACAAATGTTCCTCATAAAGATATTCCGTTACAATTAAAAAACACAACAAAGGACATTTTTGCTGATGGATTACATTGTGACCAACGCTGGCTATATAAAACGCCTTAGACATGTAGATGGCTAGTACACAACTGACGGGTCAGGGGATTAAACAGTCTATTACATGGTTTGTCAGTACAATGAAGTCGAACTCTTATACATTGTTTAAGGTGACTGACACTCTATATATTAAGCTACTCTCCATTATATTAAACCAGTAACGTTTTTATGTGTGCAAAAACAATATTCTTACCCAGACAGTTACGCTGACATTCTGCCAGCTTGGTCACTGGTGACGTTAGAGCTGTATGTGTAAGAACATTGTTTTGACATAGCAGTGACTTAGTTATAATACCTTTTTAAAACAAAATAGAAAAATAAAACAAACATCCCAACAAAAGGGTTCATGGAAGAATACCTAGGTTCAGTTTATGTATTTCTTGTAACCATGAATTATGCTCATGATTTGGGCGGAAATCGGAATTTGAAACGGTGATGCGATGTTACCATAACAGAGAGAAATACACACTACAGTGCAGTATAATAAACAAACAAATAGGTATTTTGTGCAAACTACGATCGCCTGGTTGATACGACGACAGTGTGTCGTCGCATAGAGGAATATCTTAATTGCCAGTTATCGAGCATTTCAAATTATTTTTATTATATGATAGGGGACGGAGGTTTCCTTGTAATGGTATGCTGAGTGATGTCACCTGTCGGCTTTCGTTTGTTCATTAACCACATACCGCTCTGGGATGTGTTATATAGCGGTAGTGGGATGTTCAGACACTATACAATTCACAAGAAAAATCTGGTTTCTGTTTGTTAGGGAATGTTTAAATGAGGACCATTATTTAACAAAACAATACATAACACTGAATCCAACATGTACAAGGAGACTATCAGTCCCATAAGTATGTTGTTTTAACAAGTATGCGTTTTCTGTGTCAAATTGTTCATAAAATGTAAGTAAGCTTTCTATCAATACACCTATGATCACAGTAAAGATGGATTGTCATGCTTCATTTAAAAAAAAGTAAATTTTAGACCTATGGTATACATGCCAGAAATGGAGGATATCGAAATTATATCATAGAGCTACTAGATCAGATGTTAACACATACACACTTGGTCAAACAGGAAATGCACGAGTGTTTTGTGTTTGTATGGGTCCTAAGTTAAATGTGATATCCTGTTTAATGATATCACCTTCGGCCAAGACGAAAGTGAAAAGAGATATATGTCGAGCTGTGATGTTATGTAGAAGTCAAATACAACACTTACTATGTGTTCTTTTATAATCGTGTTTATTTCGACCTAAACGCCGCATACGCATTTTATTTTATTTCTTCTTTTGTTTTTTTGCTGCAGAAAAAAAAATGGCTCGTGAAAACCATATCAGTGTTTAATGTACGATGTACGGCAATGTATATGTCTTATTATCTCTCCTTCAGTTAAATAAAAACAGTATTTCGTATTGATTTTGATTTTCGTGAATTAGGCAATAGCGATATCCTTTACTGTTCGGCTGAATTCCTACAACCGAAGATAAAATGTTTGTTTTTCTATATGAGACTTTTTAACCGACCGTTAATCCGGGATTCAGGTGAAAATCGATCTTCATTGAGAATGTTTATAATAAATGGTCTACGTAACAAAACAAATATATTTAACGCATATAAGAATAGAGCAGAAAATTAATGTATACTTATGGTACATTACTAATACAACATCTGCTTGAAAAGTTTGACAGTTCTATTGTTTTATAATTGTATTGTTTCCGCGGGACAATATCAGTTATACGCTGTATTTTAGCGGTAAACATCTTTTCACAGATGAAAATGACAATTAAACAATGACGGTTGTCATTTGAAACAGTAAGATACCGTCAGGTTACAAAACGTCGGTACACCAGATACTGAACAGTTTAAATGAATCAGTTTGTTTTTATGCGTTTCCTAGTCACGATTTAGATCAATCAGGCAGTCATGCAATACATATATTTTCCACATGTCTGTGTATGCAAGATATACGTTTCCCATGTGGAAAACACACTGTTTGAGTTTAAAATGTTAAGTATTTCATCGACTGACTTTCCGAAACATGATATCATTCAAATGTGTACGTAACATTATTTAATTGATGTCATCTGATATAGCCCACTGATATAAACAATTAATAAAACAAAGTCCTGTGAAACGTTAGCAAATGTGTTCTTACTTAATTTGTATGTCAACTTGAAATCTACTTTGTTACTGTAGTATTCGCAAAGTTATCGTCGATTTTTACGTAATTCCCGGATAGAAAGTGGGAGAAAAAAGTCAATCATAATGTTTGATATGGAAAACAGGGAAATCCTTTTTCTCGGGTTTACTAGTATTAGGCTATGCACGTCGGCGAACTCTTGGCTCTGAGCCAAATTATACACCATTTGGTAGAATTCCCCCATCCCCTATACCAACATGGTATGCACTACATGATTGCTCCAAATAAGGACATGTATCTGTTATATATAAAGAGGTTATAAATGTATAGTAAAATCCAACATTATCGTTTTACATTGTCATTTTAAAGAGGTTAGGCGAAGGAAACGTATACATATGTTATTGAGAAAAATGGATACTGTAACCTTGAAATTTGTTGGCAATAAGCGAAGTGACAGATAAAACAATAGGCGTTAAACCGAGGTTTCTCCAAGCATATTGTATCACACAAACTTTTCTAATTTTGTAATTACAAGATCTGTATTTTGTTTATTAAAAATAGGTTTTTACACAACCTCCAAGAGACATTTATTACTTAGCAATTAACTATCATTTTGAAGATTGAAAAGTGTTATTCAGTTAAACTTAAGATAACAACTATGATGTTTATGCCCCCGCCATAAAATGAGGTCATATAGTATCACCCATGCCCGTCCCGTCCCGTCCCGTCCCGTCCCGTCACGTTGCGTTGCGTCCCGTCCCGTCCCGATTCAATGTTAACACTTATCAACTTCATTCTTTGACAGATTTTGGTCAAACCTTATACAAAGGTCAAGTATGATTATACTTCGGACATCATTGTATTTTAGGGATCCAAGATCAATGGCAAGGTCACACTTGCTATATATAGAAAATCGTCCCGTCCCGTCCCGATTCAATGTAAATACTTATCAACTTCATTCTTTGACAGATTATGGTCAAACTTAATACAAAGGTCAAGTACAGGTATGAGTATACTTCGGACATCGTTGTATTTCAGGTATCCAAGGTCAAGGCCAAGGTCACACTTGCTTTATATAGAAAATCATCGACTGATTCAACGTAAACACTTAGCAACTTCATTCAGGGTATCAAGATCAAAGTGGTTGCTACTTTTTATAGAACACTGAAACTAATTTCCCATGACAGCGGGGCATTTATGTCTTACAGACATTTCCTTGTTTAATAAGTTTTAAACAGAATTTTAGACGGCTAATTCTTCAGATTAGTGAGTTTGTGACTGTGGTTAATGTAGTAAATAACTATCCTTATAAAAGGTTTTAAATGTATCTATCCAATACAGGTAAGTACACATGGGATATATTGGACAGAACTTCCTGTTCTTTCGACTATTATCAAGTTCAGTACCCTGATAATGGTACATAATGATATAAATATATCAGCGTTTCATCATGTGATTGACATGATATTGAATATGTACTGATACGCTACAAACGCTTGTATATTTTGTTATCTGGCAGTAGATAAACGTTTCAAACGTCCGCTATGAGCCATACATAAACACATTTTAATAATATGTGTGTATAAGTATATATATATATATATCTATACCATATAGTGACAATTCGTAATTCAAAGTCGAAATTCAAAAACAAAAGTATGCACTGAGAAGACTCAAAAGCAAAATACTCGTAAATAAATATTCCCTGTGCCACTTTAGTTGAAACCTGGTAATCATGACATATCCTGTAGAGCAAAGGAAATGTTGTCAGCAACAACCTATCTACGTCACAGTGAACATACGCGTCTTGTATGACGACGGTGCCAACTACTGGTGGGGCTACACAACAGCTAGCGCATATGAGGACGATATCTACTATGTTGGGCCAAACAACAGTTAGCGCCATATGACGACGATGATTACTATTGTTGGGCCAAACAACAGCTAGGGTCATATGACGACGGTATCTACTTTTGTTGGGCCAAACAACAGCTAGGGTCAAGCATTTAAACAAATCATCCTTCATGATTTAAGTGTGTCCCAATTGTACAACAGAGTGCAATAAGAAACACTATTAGAACAAATAATCACACTAAAGGTTATCATGTTAATCACAGATATACATGTATTCAAGTGTATGTGGTTTTCAATTCGCAAAGGAATCTGAGCGTGGGCAGGCTATTTTAATTTCATTTAGATAATACTTTAAAAACTATGAAAAAAATAAAAGCCCAGGCTCCGATGGGTATACAGTAAAAAATCGACAATATCTTAAAAATTGGAGACCAATTTCTTTACTTAATATTATTTATAAAATTGCATCAGGATCA